AAATTTGAAGACACTGATCTATATTGTTGGCACCTATGGTGTGGCAATGAAATTGTTGGTGGAATGTCACTACTATGCTGGAATGCTCGGGGTAACATTTTTTTTCTTCACAGATTGACCTGTAACTGCCAAAAATAACTGTTGTAACTATAGCTGCTGTTAACTGTGCAAATGGCCACTGCTGTAACCCATCTGAACCACTAAGACACAAGTTCAGATGCTAATTTCAGTATCACCAGTAAGGCATGTGTTACATATTTTTATCATGTTGTAGTATCACTGTGCCAAAGCAATCATAGTTGATCATGTAGACCATTTCACATAAAATCATCCCCTGCACTGGATACCTGAGTTTCGTTTGGTGTCCTGAACCCCATCTTCATCAATGCAGGCCTGACCACATTGTGCTGACTGTTTTAGTACTTTCAATGATTTCAGAGTATTTTTAACTGAAATTAAAACCAGCTAATAATTCCCTGAACATTGGCTTTCTATGAACTTGAGCTTCCAGCACCTATGCACCAGGCTCTGTGTGATTTGATCTAATGATCATGCTCTCAAATCTGTGTTGAGGTGTTGCTTCTGCTGCACTGGAAATGTTGGCATTAAGTGTGTTTTTGCAGTACAGTGACCACTGAGCAGGGAAAATTGTTTCTAGATATGCCTAAACATATGATGCTACAAAACATGGCTTCTCTGTATATGGCCAGGTTACTGCCAGTGTTTACCAGTTTCAACCATTCAGGTATTGAACGCAGGTGTCAGAACTTAGATTCAGCAGTATAAAATGCCACCCTATTTAAAGCCATGTTGGCCCACCTGAGGTTTCACACACATCATCAAAACTGGTCTTACTGCCTGACCTGCCTGAATTTAGCATTAAATAAGATCCTTAGACCCATAGAGCCTGTCCGAAAGACTTTCAATGTTTTTCTAGAGATTGACCTCCTACAACTCTGCTTCACAGTCCCTTGTTATGATTCCCTACTTTTTGACTAAATAATGTCTGCCTCCCCAAATTTCTACTCCTACCTTTTACTAAGTGAAGTTGTGCTTCTCTTAGTCTCAGCCTTATTTCCAGTGTTCCATATAGATCTCCAGTGTTCCATATAATCTCCTTGTCTATGTTTTCATAATCCTGAATACCTCCTAACAGATCCCCTCTCGGTCAGTGAATAAATGAATGATGTTTCAGTGGGTACAGGCCCAAGGCCCCAAGCCCATCCTTACATTGCAGGTCACAACTCCCATTCATCATTTTAGTAGCTTTTTGCTGTATTCCTTCCAGCCTATCTAACCTTTTTGGGAACATGGTGATCAAGCCTGTAAACAATCTGAAGTGTGGTCTGGCATAAGCTACAAACAACTTTTGGACAGCATTTCCACTCTGGTAATGAACATCATATAAAATAAGTCCCAGCATTCTAAGCACCTTGCTCCTACAGTCCCATATTGCTTTTCATCCTTTACATCCCTGGAAATGATGACCCTAAGTCCATTTTCTTCTCAATATGGTCTAACTCCTAGTCTTTCATCTTACAGTAATGCCCTCACTGTCAAAATTACCCAAAGGCATCACCTTACACAATCAACTGGCATCTGCCACAAAGAAGCCAGCTCCCTAGTTCCCACAACTCAAGTTGAGTTTAGTTCACTTGGCCATTTTTTACACTAATGACATGACACCAATGACATGAAAATAATGAAGGGATTCAATCTTTCTTAACACTGGACATGTTGGCCATGTTGCTACATTGGACTCAAATATTCTCATGATGTTTTGAAGTTTCTCTCAGACACTCTCAAAATGGACTTCACTGGCATTATACAGTCAGCTAGAGGCCATGTCAAATATCACACAAGTGTGAACTACATGTCTGCACTGCATTCCAGGAAGCTGTAGTTAAATTATTAAGCAAATAATTATCCTTGTGATAATCATCTAGACATTTTTCTTTTTACACTTGGCAGGTCACCCCAAGCTTATCCCCTAGTTTCCTCATAGCTAGACTGCATGTTGTAAATGGTCATGGTTTTCTATGCCATGCTAGGCATGACATGGAAAAGATTCCATCTCCACCAAATTTAAAACTTATGTGAGGTTTGTCATTGGCCTGGAAACTATCTGTGATTTTGACATCTGTTATGGACATTGCAATCTGATCCCTGTGTTCTTAAAGCCAAAGCCATTCCTCTCAGTTATTGTCCATCATTGGCTGCCAGCTTATTGCACTGAGCACTAAGTGCAGTGAATGCTTGTGAGCATTTCAAACTTCATGCAAGCAAATGTGTTCTGGATGGGTAGGTATAGGTATACATTGGTACCTAGTGTTAGAAAAATCATTGTACATTATTCGTTGTGTTTTAGGTCGAACATCTCATTAATAATCATAAAACAGGTGGATGTATGCTCCTACCTTCAAATTTTAATAACTACGGTAGCGAGCCCCCGAGCGCTGCACACCCCACCGCCGCGTCTCCCCAGCGCCGCTTCTGCGTTATCGTTGCGTGGTTACAATATTTCTGCTTATCAAGAACTATAAAAATGTATGGGGCCAAGGCAACAAAAATTTTTAAAAATGTTTCTTATTGCTGTAGGTACATAATGAAACAGGCCCAAATAGTCCAGAATGTAGTCTAAATTAGCCTAAATTCACCTAACCTAACCTAACCTAACCTAACCTAACCCACCAACCTAACTAACCTAACCTAACCTAACTAACCTAACCTAACCTAACTAACCTAACCTACCTAACCTAACCTACCTAACCTAACCTAACCTAACCTAACCTAACCTAACCTAACCTACCTAACCTCACTAACCTAACTACCTAAACTAACCCTACCTAACCTAACCTACCTAACCTAACCTAACCTGCCAAAACCTAACCTAACCAAACCTACCTAACCGAACCTAACCTACCTACTAACCTAACCTAACCTAACCTAACCTAACCTAACCTACCTAACCTACCTAACCTAACCTAACCTACTA